TCTAACATCTACAGGATATAAATAGGCAGGAGGGAAACACAGAAGGGCCAGTGTAGGAGAAATAATATTCAAAGAATAAAACAATGATCTATCAGAATAGTCAACGAACAGGTGACAAGTTCAGACATTTAACAGATCTCATGATCTTTATGAGACTGGACAGACATTAGAAGATCATTATAAATTATCTACACCCATGTAGCATGAGATTTAATCTACTACAAGCATGCCTAGAACCTGGCATAGGTGTAGGAAAATATAATATTCAAAGAATATATCCCTACAACAAGAAAATAGCACATAGATGGCAGAATAAGAAGGAACATTGGGAAAGAAATGTGAATATCTCGGGAACCAGTAAGCTTTTGACTGTAATCCTTTTACCATCTGAAAGAACTGTTTCTTAACTTTATCCACGGTTTTGTTTCATTCTAAAAGCTTCAAAACTGACGGAGATATTGCTCAAACGGCGAAACACCTTATAATTCATATATATTTATTTGCTAATTCTTACAAAAAGTAATGTGGCTCAAGGAAATTGGCGCCCGGAAGTCTGGCGGACCGAATACCATATGACATAGTATTCCCCGGCGCGGGCAGACAGTTTTTGATCGCATCAGAAGAGGAGAAAATGCTAAAAAACCGGATCTTGTATATTTTCCCATGATTCATCAAAACTTTTTGATTTTAAGCTCAAATAAATCGGAACAAAGGAATGATTGATGATCTGGATCTCGGATCATAAGCATGAAGTGATTCAGAAGTCCGCGGATCAGTTAATTAATTGGGAAGGCTCTAGAACATTAGTAATGATGCGGCTTCACAAAAAGGGGTGAATTAGAGAACAGTCTAGAAAGTTCCTTTATAGCCGAGTCATTTCTAAAGATAACCGTTCGTAATTAAGGCAGTGTAGAGCATAGCTTCAGCGCTACAAGATCCCGCTAAGATCGGCCCAAAAGACAAAGAAATGAATTACTTATTGCTGAGTCATGTCCTAAGTCCATTATTAAGCTTACACAGCCCAAGCCCCTATATCATTCTAGAACTATCTATAATACAAATGTAGCACATGTAACTAGTGCGAGGCGTGGGAGTAGGGGGGCCTCTGAAAAGCATAAAAGGCCGCCGCTTCTGCCCCCTCTCAAACCTCAGGTAGAAATAAAAGTTTAATTCTCCTCACCAGTGGTTGGTTCATTTGCTCCAAAAGATAAAAGCAAATATTAGTTGTTAGCTAATATAAAACTAACACGTCACTCTAAGCGTGAGTTAGGGTCAGTTAGACACAGCTGAACAAAAGTGTCAAAGTGAGAATTAGTGAGAATTTGGTGGAGGGACTTCTTAATTGAATAATCTCTCAGCAATACTTGGTTATCACACCACAGGAGAAAAGTGAGCGATCCTGAACCTGCTAGATAACTAGCACGCACTCTAAGCGATAGAAAGAGCAGTTTGGTCACTCCTGTATTGAGTAACATTTATTGCGGAATTATTTTATTAGTAGTTTTCCTTCAGTAAATTATCAGGAAAATCACATCCTACTGAAAAGTGGTATATCTAGGTGTAATATTGACTAGAAATCATAGTAAAGTCAATATAGAATTTTATCCGTAGACGATCTATACGTCAGGTGAGATCGTTGGGGGGTGTTTATTGTTGTTTAGACAGTGAACAATTATATATTTGGCAACCAAAACACGGTCAGTACGCAAATCAGCACAAACTCTAATATCGTTATTGGACGTAGGAAACTGGTTACATAAGGTGATCCAGCTCTGCTCCTTTACCGGTCAGTCCAGTGCTGAAATAAGCGGGGATTGTCAAACTGAATGAAGGACAAGAGCCCAGAAAATGGGAGGCAATGAACTCAAGCAAAAGTGGATCAAGTGCCAATATTGACAGGTAATAAGAAGTGCATCAGCACACAGATCAAGAGCCAATATTGGCAAGTTAAGCGAATGAATAGATGAACAATATAGGCACTTGGCAAGGAATGAATGGTATGCTGCTGAGTGACAAAAATGGCCAGAGGACAAAAGCGGAGGTCAGCACATGGCGCTGATACAAGTCCGCAAATAAGCGGGGTCGGTGTGGTGCTGACACAAGTCCGCAAACAGAGGTTGATCTGTCAGTACTGTCACACAAGGACAGCATGAAGGCCAACAGAGGTACAGAGGGGAGTGGGAGTGTTGGCCTGACCAGAGTGTCAAGGGCAACCAGAAGTGGGCAGAGAGTGCAGAGATGGGCAGAGGGCACAGAAGTGGGCAGAGGGTGCAGAATGCACGGAAGCGGTGCATGGCTGTGACCACATAGCAGGAAGCAATGAGTGTGGTTCAGATGGAGACAAGGCAGGCATAGGAACTGGAGGGACTGAATGCTGGGAGCGCCAAGGGCTCGGGAACTGGAGGTAAGGTTGGAATGCCAGCAGGGTCTAGGTTCTGATTGTTGGCCAAGTCTCATGCAATAAGGCAGGGGGCCAGACATCAAGTTGGGGGCTGGTTAGGATGGGTTTCAGGTCGGTGGATTCGCCTATCGGCATTGGTTCGCCACTGACAGAGCCCTGGGATCTGTCAGTCATGACACACAGTAGAGCTATGCCCTGAGATGGGCTGTGTTTACAGGTTAGGCTGTGGGCCATAGAGAGGGGTCATGGGGACCTGGGGATCATCCCCTGACACTGACCTACTCCACAACCATTCCAGTCCAACTCCAGTTCGACTCCCATCTGCCTCCTCCTCACTTCCACCATACCTCCTGGTCCACCTGCACTCCACCTGCACTACCAATCTCCAGTATCATCTCCAGTACTGTCAGGGCATGGTGCACCATGCCACACCACTCCCCCTCTCTCCCTCCTTTCTCTCCCTCTTTCTCTCTTTCTTTCTCTCTCTCTCCCTTCCCTTTGTTTCCTCTCTACCCCTATATGGTGACTCCCCATTTTCTTACATCTGTAGCATGGACACATCTGATGCCAGGCACCCCACAGGAATACCTGCACTGCTGGACATGCCACACATCCCTACTTGTATCTTTCTTCTCTGGCACTCAGGATCGCCTGTGGGACCACCCATGATGGCTTGGCTTCATCCAAGGCTGATGTAGCACCTCCATGTGACCCATTTTCACATGTATATAAACTGAGCTGAAGCAGAACTGAAGAAGCAGCCTTCTTCTCACTCCTGCTTCAGCCTAAGAAGCCCATAGGGATGCTTGCCTGAGTGAGGGCTACCCAACATACACGTCCACGACTCCATGTCAGGGCACAGCCCTTGACCCCACACACCCTCAGACACCCCTTCCCCCCTCCTGACCACCCTTCCCCCATTTTCCCCCATTTTTCCTCCACTGTTCCACAATGGTACAGGTACGTGAACCCATGGGAACATTCTGGGTGAGCAGCTCGCCCAGAATCTTCCCACGGTACCTAATATGGAAACTCGGGAAAGACCTGACAACTGCACAGTTCTCAGGCTCCCTTTGTAGCGGCCTCACAGGGGGTTGAGAAGGTTACCCTTCTTCTCAATTCATTCCCTGTGAAGCCCAGGGCAAGTCCCCTCAGCGACTTTGAGGAGTTAGTGGCTGGAGAAGACTCTCCAGTGCCACTCCTGGACCTCATTACTACATCCCCTCTGGACAAGGGACGGACCCTGACACTCTGCTGCCACTTGGGCTGCTAGCGCCATGCACTGCACTGAGACCCTCACCCCTTCTGAGCTGTCCCTGACAGGTACCTCCTCTGCCTATCCTATACAATTATTAATATTTCTACCCCCCCTCAATCATTATGGACCTCTGAGGAACCTCCACTGTCTACAAAGGATTGTCCTTCCCACTACCCCCTGTTGCTAATACTACCCTTCATGTAATTACTCCACAGTTACTAACAAGGTGATTCTCTCATGAGCTTACCTGGCTTGTGGGTAACTGTTATGGAAATGGGATTTTCCCATTTTTAGCCTCTTATGGGCTCTATGCAGCACAATATCATGTGACATGTATATATTGACAACTGAATGAACTACTATCACCCAAAACACCATTGTCAATGTCTCTGTAACCCCCAGCTGTGACAACATCTGCCATACTACCCATATAAGATGTCATGGCCCCTCCCTGCACCCAAAAGCTATAGAAATGGGCCAATTAGGCACCATTTTTATAACAGTAACATACAGTCCCATTTTCCCTTTATACCCCTTTGGTCTTATTTTATGTATATAGACCATGTACCATAGTTGATGACACCTTAGTGCAAAATTGGTGATTCATAATCCCCCAGAAATCATGCCCTCTGTCTTAGTAAGGGCCACTGTAAGGGGTTGGTGTAGGTTCCAACCCCAGTTCTCCTCAATCCTCAGGTCATCAATAAAGTTGAGCTGTATGGAGCTTTAATTATTATCAATGATGGGGAGGAAAAGGAGTTCTGTTCCTTTTCCCAAATTCCCACATTATTGTATATACACTGTTTATACACATTTATTATGACACATATAGAATAAAGATAGGAATTAAGGGGTGGGGTTACCACTCCTTACAGCCACACACTGGTACAGAATGTAGGCACAGTGCTCCACCATGAGTTGCTGAGGCCAAAGGCCCCTCTTCTCCCCCTTCATCCTCCTTCCAGGATAAGTCAATGAACACACCCACCCATGTTCTGACAATGTGCAGCCTTACTGGTAGTGAGATTTTCTTTTCCCCCCATTCTTTTCCTGTTTGCTGCTGGGTTATATCCCTAGCACACTTACAACATCCATGGTTATGACCTGGGGCTCTGCCATGGCTGCATCTTGCTGGGAAGGGGTGCATTGCCCAGTCTGATGTCAAGGGTTTGTCTGGGCCTGGGTTAAGCTCCCACCATATGTGGTGCTCATGTATTGGGCATGCAGAGAAAATACTTTTGCAAGTGTGGCAATAAATGTCTCCTGGGGTGGGGTCCAGTACTTTGAAGAATGGGGGTGGGAGGTTGTAAGGACCATCAAACATTTTCCCACAGAAAACATTGGAATAGTCAGGAATTGAACCTGTGTCCCTCTGGTGCAACAGTGTGATAACCCATTGAGCTACTATCCCTGGTCTCACCAACCACCAAACCTGGGTTTTCAACCATAGTGAGGCTAACCTCAAACCTCAGACATTTAATGAGTGCAGGAAGTGGAAATATGAGTCTTGAGAAAAAGCATGGAAAAAATTGGAAAAAATGTGGAAATGTGTCAAGGTCATTGGGACTGTCTTGGAGGCTTGAGGGTGCTCATTGGAGCCTCAAAAAACATGATTCTGGCCTGTTTGTATAGTACTTGCTGTGCCCTCCTACAACATGGAAGAAACCAGGCCTGATAATATGGTAAAATTACACTAAGTTGCAGCAGCAACCCCAATCCCCTGAGACCTCATGTAAAATACACCTGAAAATACATCACCCCCACCCATGAGATGAATGAACCCAACTAACATGCCCAAATTTACTGGACTGAAAGGTAACAGGCAAGCATGCTAGCCCCCCCTCCAAAAAAAATGTCCCTGGAGTGGCTGGCAACCATTTGGGGCCAACAAAACTGCCAGTAAACAACAAAGACTTGACAAAGAAAAAAGGCAGGAATCCCAATCTCCTTGCTGAAGGAGGGGAACAGAAAATGCTGTTCTTTCTTCTGATACTTATATGTTAGTATTGCCAACCACGGTAGTGTTTTGGTTGCTTTGTGTATAGACATTTATATGTGTTACTAAGTATTTGTGTGTGTATGTAACTCTTAGGGTTCAATTCACTTGTCTACCTGATTATTCCAACAAAAATCACACTATAGACCTACTGTTTTCAGTCATTTCACCTCTGTCTTGTCACTTTTAACTCAGAGTGACTCCAACTGACTTGACTCAATTTCTTAACTTCTTAACTTTCTACTGAGGGTTGATCACTTTTACTCAGATGTGATCTGAACTGCACACTTATACTAATAAAACTTGATTTTTATTAGGACACCTTATGACCTATGGGCCAGAGCATGGGGAGAGGCACAAAGAAGGAAGAGGGGTCAGACCAGAAAACAAGGTCTTTTATACCTTTCCTAAGGGCTCCATTTTCACATGTCACTTTTCTTTTTACATTGCTGAGTAATCTTGTATTGAGCTTAGTAATCTTCTTATGTAAGCGATCAGCATCCCATCCTGCTTCTAGAACTTTCTGGAAGTTTAGCTGTGGGAATCAGCTGATTGCACTGTCTAACACCTGTCATGACCTTATTTACCCTTGTTTACTCACTTTATTCTAAGTGACATGTCATGGGTTATTTGTTAGCTTAAAGGTGTAGCTTCCTGTCAGTATAAACAACAGTAAACTATGAGGATTATTCATGAAGATATGAATTTTTCAAGATTTCATTTCAAGGTTCTCCAGATTGCTTTGGCATTAACTCAACCATTTTCTTACAATTAATTCTGGATTAATTATGCCTTGTTCCTGGACTCAAACTCTTTAGTTTTTCATTTCTAGCTCATCTGTTTCTACCACAACGTTTGAGCCAGTCTTCTCTGCAAGTGTGTTTTAATCTTGTTAAATCCATTTCTCCCTCAATTCTTCAGATTTTAACATGAAATTTTTCTGTACACAGACCTATATCCCAACTCTTTAAGACCAACAAGGATTCATATTTTTCCCTATTTCCATTCCATAAATATTTTCATCCTTTCATCTTTTCCTTGTACCTGTCATATCTGTACATACCCGATCCCAAGTCGACTTCTGGACCCTCCTCCTCACCACCTCTGGAGTCCTACCCTATCCCTGTCTGCTCCAATATCTGCCTTTGGACCTGACACCACCTTCCTCTTCCCTCCTCTCCTTCCATCCCTCTTCCACCAACCTCCACCAAGTTACAACCTTCCACGCTGTCCTGTACCCCATATTTGGACACTGCTTGTATCTTCACTCCGAGATCCCATCATGTCCCGACCTTGGACTTTGACTCCACCTTGGCTTAAGTCCATTGCATTGGTGACCTCATTTCACATAAACACCATTGCCAATATTCCTCAGACTTCCAACTCCACCTCTGCAAGCTCCATAAGCTCCGCTACTGTCAGGGCACACCCGCCTGACCCGGGCCCACCCGGGCCCACCCGGCCACACCACACCCGCTCCCCGCTGTCTATCCCCCTCCCCCCTCCTTCCTCCCTCTCCTCCCCTTTCTTTTCCCTCTTCTTTCCCCTTTCTTTATTTCATTCTTCTCATCTTCCTCTTCCTGTTTATTTCTTTCTATCTACACGGACCACCTTCCTTTGTATCGATGTACTATTGACCCGTCCGGCCCACACACCCCGGACGGCTTCCCGCTGTGCCCAGCACGCACGCATGTAGCGGACGCTCTCGGGATCCCCCACGGGGACACCCGGATGCCTGCGGCTGCCTCCGAGGATGACATGGCACCTGTCATGTGACTCAAGCCGCATGTACATAAATGTACCTGAAGTGGGAACCGAAGAAGTAACCTTCTTCTCACATTCTCCACTTCAGGTAAGTAGTATAGTTTTCCCCTTTAATAATAATAACACATTCTCCACTTCAGTCTGAGTGGCCAGGGACCACTGTCCCGGATCGGGCCCGCCAGTACGCACGCCCGCTCCACACCCCGCGACGGCCTCAGTGCCGGATATTACCCCCGGGCCCTCTCGACCCCGGACGCATCCCTGACAGCTACCCCTGAGCTTCATGGACCATCCTTGGCACCTTCGCTGCTTGTAGTGTATAGTCTGCACTTCTCCCTCACCCCTATTTGGACTACTGCTTCTTTACATTTAGCCAGTTAGTCATCAACCCCACTTCACCTCATCCTCCTGCCCCTCTGGGCTTCATCCTCCTTACCTCCTTTTGGATGTGCCATAGAGTCTAACCCTTGACCCTCAGTACTGCTCCGCTTCTGTGATTCCCTTTGTCTCTGTTCAGATGCCTTTGTTCCGTTTTGGACCCCCTTTGATTTCTCATGCTTTTGTCTCTCTATTATATGTAGGTGCTTGTACATACTCGATTGACTCTCAGTGTCATATCCATTCCTGGCCATCAACTTCCGGCCCCTCCGATCCCTCCGGTCTACCTCCGCTCCTTCTTTACTGACCTCGGAGCTCCCATATTCCGCAATCCTCTCGGTACCCCTCGATGGTCACCACCCCCTCCTTTCAATTTATTACCTACGCCTCCCTAAGTATGGAGCCCCAAAGACTTCTGGACAGCTCTGACGTCCACTAGCGCACTCCTGCCTCCGCTGGGCAATACACTTGCCTGCCCTGCAGAGCCCACCTTCGGGCTTATCCCTCCTTTCCGTTTCTGGGTTATCGCCCGCCTTTCCGTTAACCCCGCGACCCGACTCATCAGTAATATTCAGTTGGCTAATGTTTAACCCCGTTAGCTCCACTCCGTTCGGCTCCGCTATTTGCGGACCCGTATTCGCTGTAACCATATATATATCCAACTTGTACATAGGTTACACTTCAGTAATAACATCAACTAGAGTTACCCCCCTTCAGTTCTGGTTGCCAGTTTAGTAAGTTAGGGCATGGACGTGTTACTAGGCACAGCGCTCTTGGCATGGGTCGCTGAGGCTGAAGCCCTCCGCCACGGAGACTTTCCTTCGTCTCGAACCTGGTCTCTGACACTCAGTCTAAAATCGACCAGAATGCCCCCCAGAGACTTCTCGCTTGCCATGTCTGAACAAATGGACAAACAGCAATGGCACAGCACTCCCCTTGAGTTGCTGAGGCCAAGGTCCCTCCTTACTAAGTCTCTGGTTCCACTCTGGAATTGTCCACTCTCACCCTGTTCTAACAGTACCCAACCATTTTTCATTATGTGAATTCCTTGATTTTCTTCCGATTTCTCTTTGTCATTCATTTTGTACATTTGTAAAACTATTTTCCCACATTACCATGAATTTCTCAGATTTTTTTTTTTCTTTGGTGGAGCTGCCCATAGCTTTCGCTGGGTAGGTTTGCTACCTGGGGGTTTGAGTGTGGGGGTTGTCCCCTGAGGAGAGAGGTTGTGCCTGTTGCTTGTGGTCTTGTTAGTGTTAAGTACCACCTTCTGAGACTCCACCACAGGGAATTTATGCACTTTCTGGGATCGTCCCTTGAGTGTGGGGCTTGCACTGATCCGGAGGACTGGGAATACCCACTAAAACCCCGTTGGTTTTTAGCCAGTTCTCAGGAAGGTCTACATCTGTGTTCAGGAGGTTCTTCCATGTCTCAAGCATGATCTTTTCTGGGAGGGCCTTTGTGCCATATTATCTCTTGTTAGTTAGTATTTTGTCGCTTTGTAGTCTGTCGTTAATGGCAGATCTTATGATATTATGGGCTTCTGTTCTTGATATTTTAATTTCATTATCGGTGTTGCTGTTGATGACTCTGTGGCAGTGTAATTTCCAGATTTGCCATGCCCCCTCGAGTATGAGGATTTTTAGGGCTCTGGAGTCTCCCGGTCTAGCGAGCCCTTCTTCGTCCTTGAGGTCCATAGCAGGGTCGCCATTATGAGTGAGGTATTCATATTTGTAGGCCAGGATATTCTTTTCCAGGTGCAGAGGGATTTGATGGTGTCCCATACAGTCTGGCTTTGTGTCATATCCATCCATGGCCATCACCCTCAACCACCTCCACTCCTCCAGATTACCCCTGCTCCTCTGCCACTAACCTCAGAGCCTCCAGTTTCCGCAATCACCTCTGACCCCCCAATGGTCACCACCTCTCCAATTCAATATATTGTAAGCTCCGCAACCTCCACAACCTCCAAGCTTCACAGGCCAAACTCGGCACTTTCGCCAATTGTAATGTATCTTTCGCGCTTTCCCCTCATCCTTATTTGGACTGCTGCTTCTCTCCATTTTAGCCAGTTAGTCATCATCCCCACTTCACCCCATCCTCCTGCCCCTCTGGGCTTCGCCCTCCCTATCTCCTTTTGGTACCACAGGTTCTAACCAATGACCTTTGGTGCCACTCCGCTTCCATCTTCCCTTTGTCCCTGTTCAGATGCCTTTGTTCCAATTTGGACCCCCTTCGATTTCCTTGTGCTTTTGTCTTTCTACTATATTCAG